TGTAAGAATGTTTTTCTAGGGTAGACACCAAGAAAGGGAACTTCTGAGTCATAAGCTACAGGTATTTTATATTTTAATATATACTGCCAAATTGCCCTCCAAAAGTGGCTGTACCAATTTATACATCTACAGTTTATGAGAATACTTCTTTCCCTATCCCTTCATTATATCAGATAGTATCATATTAAATATTTTTCCTAACCCCACAAGTGAAAATTTTCATCTTATTTTTAATTTATTAATGAAGTTGAACTAATTTTCTTATGGATCATTTTATTCCCTTTTCTATAAATTTGTTTATTTTTACTATTAGGTATATTTTTATTATTTATAGGAGTTCTTTCTATATCATGAATACAAAGCATTTGCTATATACATTGCAAATATTTCTCAATTATTGCTTGTTTTCTAATGTAATTATGATGTCTTTTATTATATTAAATTTTATATTTTGATATAGCCCAATTTCTTTCTTTTAGGGCTTTTGAGTTTGATGACTTATTTAAGATCTTTCCTTTCTCAGGGTCATAAACATACTTTCTTATACTTTTTTAATGTCTGGGCCTATAATCTATCTGGTGTTTATTTTTGAAATTGGTCTAATGTGGTGCTCTAACTTTACTTTTTTCCATATGGAAAGCTAATTACCATCTCCAGTTGTAGGTCTTCCTATCCCCACTGATTTGAAACATTTCTACCATATAGCAAATCCATATATATATAAAATCTGTTATCTGTACCACTAATCTATACTGCTTTATAATACATTTTGATATCTGCTAGGGCACATCTCTCACTCTCTTATTTAAAAATATCTTGCTATTCTTGAGCAATTTCTCTTCCACATGAATTTTAGATTCAGTTTATCAAGTTCTAAGAGAAAGCCTATTGGGATTTTAATTTGGGTACAAAAGCTATCATTGTAATATTAAGTCTTCTCTTTAAGGAATATGAATAGATCTCTATTTACTCAGGTTTTCTTTAATATCCTTCAATATGTTTTATATAGGTCTTACAGATTTCCTGTCAAAGTGTTGCCAAGCACAGTGGGCACTCTATAAATAAATGGTAGCTATTATTATTATTAAGGGTTTACTGGTTACAGTATACTGAAAACAAATAAGGAAGCATATTCTAGAAACCATGGTCAATTTCCCAAGCCAAAACTAAATCTAAATCTTAAATTATCTCTCAATCCCTATCTCCTTTCCTATTCTTACCCCAGTACCAAAAGGTCCGTTTTTAAGAATTATTTTAAAACCAAGGAAACAGACTGACAAACCTGAGAGAGCAGGGTGGGAGGTTGGGGGAGGGGGGATAAACCAAAAAACATATATGCATATATGCATAACCAGTGGACACAGACAACAGTGTGGTGGAGTGGGGAGGAGGGTGCCCATTAGGGGAAAAAAGAAAGGACATCTGTAGTACTTTCAACAATAAAGATAAAATTTTTAAAATGAAGAAAATAAAAGCAAGTTTTTTAAAATAGAACTTTAGTCAGTAAATAAATATAGTTAAGTCTTGAACAGTCTCTGTTCTCTGTTGAACAGTCTCTGGGCAGATCCTCAATAAAACACTAAGAGCATCTAAAAATACACTTCCAAGACATAGCATTTAAATTACACTTCCTTTGCTGGGGCTTGGATCCAGAGGTCAGCGAACAGAATCATCTCTCAGCCTGTTTTGCATGCCTGCTGATAATTACCATAATATCCCAGGAACAAAACACAATCACAGTACTCCTTCAACTACTATTCCATGGTTCTGAAGACATTTGACCAAGAATATATAGCCTTAAAGATTCAACTCTTATTTCTTAGGTGAAAAAAGTAGGGCCAAACAAATGCAGAGAATGGCCAGTTAAATGACAGCAAAACCAGATAAATGGCTCTTCTATCAGGCCAATGTTATTTCTTCTGCATCATACAACTTATGTTATTTTGGGGCCACCAGTTATACTTGATAATATCCTTATGCATGATGTCTTGTTAACAACTTAATACTTAGGATTAGTAAGTAATGTTATAAAAGCAAGCAATTACCATAGAATACATTTAATAATATAAAAAATTCTTGAAGTACACATAAAGATTTTTGTGCTTTTGGATATTATTATCTTTATGGAATTGTTTAATAAGCATTAATGGAGAGTAATCTTGAGCTTTGGTAGAAACCAATACAATAACAACAAAACTCAGGGTACTTCAGGTGTATTTCCTAGATCTTCTTTCTTTGATCCACCAAAAATGACATACAGAATTCAAGACTGGAGTTTAAGACCCAAAGGATAAGGCAGGCCTTAGCATGAACTGTTAAAACAGTAGGCTCTGAAATCAGACTTCCCAAATTTAAATCCTGTTCTACCCCCAAAATCCTGTTCTATCTCAGTTTCCTCATCAGCAAAATAAGGAAGATAACAGTACCTATCCTCAGAAGGCTGTTGTGAGGACTGAATCACAGCATACATATAAAGAGCTCAGGACAGTGCCTGACAAACAGTAAGTATTCATTAAATATTGGTTATTATTTCTTTCTTTATAAAGAGAAGAAACTGCCCAGCCACTATGGCTCAGTAGTTGAGGATTGACCAATGCACCAGGAGGTCGCTAGTTCAATTCCTGGTCAGGGCACATGCCCAGGTTGTGGGCCAAATCCCCAGCGGGGGTGGGGGGGCATGCAGGAGGCAGCAGTCAGTGTTCTCTCTCATTGATGTTTCTATCTCTCTCCCCCTCTTCCTTACACTTTCTCTAAAATCAATAAAGAAAAAAAAATTTTTTTTAATAAAAAAAAATAATAATAAAGAGAAGAAACTTTCTGGTCATCATAACACAGAGAATAGACCCATTTTTAAATGATTTTCTGCACTAGAAGTTAGGGGATGCTTTTTTAATTTTTACTAAATATTAATTTAGGAAAGAAAGAAGTATTTTCATAGCTTTGTAATTTAATGTGAAGAAAGCATTCCCTTCTTATCTTTTATACAAATTAGGATAATATTACAAAACTTGAATGATTTTTACAGAAGATAATGTCAAGATAATGAAAGAAACTGTGCTTTGACAGAGAATGCACTTGACCCCACCATAGAAACTGACAGATACTATCAAGAAAAAGCCTAAATCCATAAAGCTCAATACTGGGGAGTCTTCATGGTCTGATAGAATGTTGGAAAGGACTTTGGAGAGAATCAGACATGTATTCCTTCCCACCAAAATCCAAAAGAAAATAGAGTTGGAGGTTATATACATGAGACTTAGTTTCACAGCAGAGACAATTTGGAAAATGGGCAAACTTCTGAGTGAGATCCATATGAATGTAAAGTAAAATCCTAGTAATTTTTACAAACCAAATATTTTGATGATTTATATTTCTATAGTCTTAATGCAACCTTTATCACATAAACAATAGAAAAAGTTACTATAAAAAGGAACTTGAAATAACATATATATCCTATCATAGGTTAACTTACCATCCTAATTTAAAATAATAAAAGACATTTTATGTAAAAACCAAGTCTAGTTTCTTTAAAAAGAACAAATGGTACTGAGACAACTGGATAGTCACATGCAAACAAATGAAGTTGGACCCTTACCTCACACCATATAAAAACATTAATTCAAGCCCTGGCCGGTTTGGCTCAGTGGTTGGAGCGTCGGCCTGTGGTCCAGAGAGACCCGGGTTCGGTTCCCGCTAAGGGCACGTACCTCGGTTGCAGTTTGTCCTCGGCCCTGGTTGGCTGTGCGGGTGGCAGTCACTCGATGTGTTCCTTTCACATCAATGTTTCTCTCTCTCTCTCCCTCCCACTCTACCTGAACAAAAAATGGAAAATATCCTCGGGTGAGGATAAAAACAAACAAACAAACAAAAACATTAATTCAAAATGGATCAAAGAGTTAAAACAACTATCAAACTTTTAAACAAAAACAGAGGTAAATCTTCAAGAACTAGGTAGGGTCTGGCAAAGGATTCTTAGATATGATTCTAAAAGCATGAGCAACAAAAGAAAAAATAGGTAAAGTGGACATAATCAAATTTTAAAGCTTTTGTGTTTCAGAAGACACTCTAAAGAAAGTGAAGACAACCCACAGAATAGAAAAAATATTTTCAAATCATATATCTGACAAGAGATTTGTAACTAGAATATATAAAAAAACTCTTATAATTCAATAATAAAAGACAAATAATCCAGTTTAAAAAATGGGCAAAGTATCTGAATAGACATTTCTCCAAGGAAGATATACAAATGGCCAAGAAGCAGATGAAAAGATGTTCAACATCATTACCCATCAGGAAAATGCAAATCAAAGCCACAATGAGATAACCACTTCCCACTCATAAATATGGCTAGAATCAAAAAGTCAGATAAGTTCTAATGTGGATGTGGGGTAACTGAAGCCCTCATATTTAAGTTCCTTTATAAGAAACGTAAAGTGGTGCATCTGCTTTAGAAAACTGGCAATTCCTCAAATGATTAAAAAGACTTACCATATGACCTAGCAATTCCACTCCTTAGGTATATATCCAAGTGAAATAAAAACATGTGTTCACACAGAAACTTGAACATAAATGCTTATAGTAGCATTATTCATAACAGCCAAAAGAATGGAAAAAAACTTAAATGTCCATCAATAGATAAAAGGATAAACAAAATGTGGTATATCCATACAATGGAATATTATTCTGTTATAAAAAGGAATGAAGTACTAATACACGCTAGATATAGATGAACCTTAAAAATATTATACTAAGTGAAAGAAGCCAGTCAAAAAAAGACAACATACTACATGATTTCATACATACAAAGCCTGAAATAGGGAAATCTACAGAGGCGTAAAGTAGATTGGTGGTTAAGGCTTGGGGGGATAAGGTGATGATAACCAAAAGGTATGAAGTTTCTCTCTGAGGTGATGAAAATGTTAAAAAGTGACTGTGGTGACAGGTACACATACCTATGAATATACCAAAAACCACTCAATACTTTTATTTTCTTTATTTTTGGTGAGATGTGTAATGTGCCAAAGTCATAATAAGATTTGTGGGAGGAATATCTCAGACAAGAACATAAACACCCAAAAGGATCGATCACTGAATACTTTAAATGTGTTAACTGAATAGTATAAATCATATTCTAATAAAGCTGTTAAAAAATAGCCCTGGCCGGTTTGGCTCAGCGGTTAGAGCATCAGCCTGCGGTCCGGAGAGACCCGGGTTCGGTTCCCGCTAAGGGCACATACTTCGGTTGCAGTTTGTCCCCGGCCCTGGTTGGTCGTGCAGTGGCAGCCACTCGATGTGTCCCTTCACATCGATGTTTCTCTCTCTCTGTCTCTTCCTCTCTCTCCCTCCCACTCTATCTGTACAAAAAATGGAAAAATGTCCTCGGGTGAGGATAAAAAAAAAAAAAAAGTATGTCTGAAAAAATTTAAAGGATCGCACTACAAAAGCACCTGCATATGTTCTCATCTGATTTAGGTTCTAACCATGGATACTTTTGCTACACTCAAAGGACCAGCCTGGGTCAGGCTTAATCACAGGCTGGATCCCCTGTACCAGTTTTAATAAGTTAGTGCCTCCCAGAATCACCTAAGAGCTTGTTAACAACACACAGTCCCTGACCCAACAAGAGAGATTTGGTGGGACAGAGATGAGGCCCATGAATCTGCTCTGGTAGGTTCCCACATGTATGTAGTGCAGATGGTGAGTAACCACATTTAATATAAGCAATTCTCTGCACCCTACTATCTGGATGAAACACACCAGATTTAAGCTACTTTTCTAAATAAATTCTAAAATGCTGAACATATATCCTAGCTATAGAAAAATAAAAAAATAGCCTCTAAACTTATGACTTTTAAAAAGTAGTCTAAAGGTAACTGCAGAATTTCCAAACTCATTTGAACAAAAGGGCTATCTAACACTAGATGAAAGAACTATAAATAGCCATTAAAAACAACAACAACAACAACAACAACACAGACAGAACTGCATCATTATATAGTGACTCACTTAGTCAAAAGCCCTCAGTATAGACTATACCACAAATACCTGGCACTACCAATTGAAGAATATTTACCCTTGCACATTTTAATGGTTATAATTCAGAACCTTATGTGCTGTCCATCCCATTACTTTTCTACATTCTAGTTAAAAACCACCTTTAAACTGAAGAAATTTGTACGAACAGTACACAAGTACACAGCTTGAAGATATCTATCATCAAGAAACTTTTTCTAATGAAGAAATGGCATTTAATATTTTAAAAAGTAGAGAAATAAAATAGGAGACATTTTCTTCTTCTTTTTTTAAAATATAATTTTTATTGATTTTTAGGGAGAGAGGAAGGGAGAGGGGGAGAGAGAGAGAGAGAAACATCAATGAGAAAGACACATTGACCAGGAGCCCGCAACCTGGGCATGTGCCCTGACAGGGAATCAAATCGGCAACTTCTTGATCCATGGATTAATGCTCAACCACTGAGCCACACCGGCTGGGCAATAGTAGACATTTTCAATAATAAATATATAGAGATTTAAAAACAATAACAACAACTTCTGGATGTTCCTTATGTGGTATTGCTATTTGTCTGGAAAATGTAGACATTCCAAAGCAACTCCCTCCTACCATCTCACCTAAATAAAAAACAATTCTAAGTACAGAAAAGATGGGTCCCAAAGCTTGGGCACAGGGAGCCTGGCACATTTTAGACCATTAGTTTATTTAGTCTTACTTCCTATTCAACTCTGAAAAGCTTGGTCTCTTGGTTTTCTAGTTGGAAGCAGATATGAAGCAGCACATCAGTAAAAGTAAAGAGCTACTAGAGGAAGACACAATGACAGTAAGAAGGGACAATCAAGAGAAAGATGAGTAATTAATCTATACAAAGTAGACCCAAACACAAATGCCAAAAGCACAGTCTTACTTGGAAAAGAAGCTCCTCAGGGCATCACTGTATTGTGCTCAGTGTAATACTTCACACCCTTCCAAATTTAATCTCTCCAACTGTCCTCTGTAACCTCTCTCCTCCCATTTCCTCAGAATCTTGCTCCGTGAATCCTTCTCTTTTCCCCGACATATCTTGACCCCCTTCTTGCTAAGGACTCCTTCCCCTCAGCAGAAAAATATTCTCAAATCTCTTCCAAATAACACAAAAAAGAGCCCTTCTTTCATCCCAGCACTCTCCTCTAGATACATTCTTCTCCTTTACTTCAGAGACAAGGTTTTATAAAGAACAGTTTCAACCTGCTAGATCCTCTTCCTCATCTTCTAAGCTACTGCAACACAATGGTCTCTTGACCACCACTCCACTGTAGCTACTCTCACACAGGTCACTAATGCCCTCACAACTGCCAGTCTACTGACTTTCTACTCTTACCTCTGTTGACCTCTCCAAAACATCTGATCCAACTTCCTTCTTGAAAACCCCCTCTTTGCTTAGAGTCTGTGGTGCCACACTCACTTGGATTCTTCAGTCCTGGGATGTCAATGAAATGTATGCAAAAAAAGGGGAGGAGGGTTCACGATCAAATAGATTTGAGAAATGTGCTATTAAAAGTTAAACAGTTTTCTTTACTTCAGGACTTCTCAGATTTCTCACATCAACACTGATGTGCATTGTGACTCCACAGGATGGATTTCCAGTTTCCCAAACTTACTTGACTCTAGAACCTTTCCCTCCCTTTTATAGAACTATCTTTTATAACAAAGTAATTAAGGAACATATTTTGGGTAACATCACTCTTTTTTTTTATCCTCACCCGAGGACATTCTTCCACTTTTTGTTCAGATAGAGTGGGAGGGAGAGAGAGGAAGAGAGAGAGAGAGAGAGACATCGATGTGAAAGAGACGCATCGAGTGGCTGCCACCCGCACCATATACGTTCACCATAAGTGATCTCATTCGTATCCTCATGGTTTCAAGGCACCTTTTTATTTATTTATTTATTTATAAAAAAATTTTTTATCCTCACTCGAGGACATTTTTCCATTTTTTGTTCAGATAGAGCAGGAGGGAGAGAGAGGAAGAGAGAGAGAGAGAAACATCGATGTGAAGGGACACATCGAGTGGCTGCCACCCGCACGACCAACCAGGGCTGGGGACAAACTGCAACCCAGGTACGTGCCCTTAGAGGGAACCGAATCCTGGTCTCTCCAGACCGCAGGTCGATGCTCTAACCTCTGAGCTAAACCGGCCAGGGCTCAACGCACCTTTAGAGTAACTTTTACTGACTGACACCGTGTAACTTTGGATCTTGACTTCCTAATTTATAAAATGAGAACAATAAATTCATAAGTACTAAACGACATGATGTACATAAAAGTATTTACTACAACATATTTACACATTTAAGCAAAAGCTTAATAAATGGTGACAATCATTTACTCTCTAACTTGGGACATTCCCTTGGTTGTTTTATATATACTTCAAACTCAAGATGCTCACTTCCCACCCTACCACCTGGCCCCTGTACCTTCTAGCTCAGTGAATAGCACTACTCTTCACCCAGATGCCCAAACCTGAAACAATGAAACCAAACTCTAGACTCATCCTTTTCAATTACTATCCTTCCCTTGCTCACTAATTTAGTAACTAAGTATATCTGGCTTTTCTCCAGTACACTTTCAGATGGCTATCTTTCTAAAGTGCAAAATATAATCATATCACTCCCCTGCTTAAAATTTCTTCAATATTTCCTCACAGTTTTCAGGATAAAATTCAACCTCCTAACGTATCCTATAAGGTTCTTCATGATCTGGCCTCTTAAGTCTCATCTCCTTCTATGCGCTATTCTCACAAACATTCTCCACTCCAGTCAAATCAAATTATGTGTATTTCTACAAATGGTCATACTTTCATGACTTTATTCTATTCTTCTGTCCATAAAGTCAGTTCAACCCCACTCTCATCCAATGTATTTCTGGTTAATTTCAAATGGTCTTTTTCATGAATTTAATTATATGTTATTTCATTCCTATCCTTTAATTTTATATTTAACAAATGTAAAACACAGCCTATAAATGTAAATATTCATTCTTCAACCTATTTAATACTATAAAATACAAGCAATTCATCCAATATGCTTAGGTAAAATTGTTAGCCCCAGAATTGTCTTATTTTAGTAATGAGGAAGTCTATAATTAAATGAGATTAATAGCCCTTCATTGACATAAATTTATTATATTCTGGACACTAAGGAGGTTACAATACTGAACAAGGAAAATTCCTGACCTCAGTCTAGTGGAGGAGTCTGACCCTTAAACAAGTAACATCAATATAGTGTTATAAAGATATGTAAATGTATAAAATTTGAGAAGATAAAGGAAGAAATAACTAACTTATGTATGGTGGTTTCAAACGAATATAACAAGGACAAATTCCAAATAAAATATTTTCTCCCTCAGTTAAAACTCACCCAATAAATATCAAGATAAATTTGAGTTCTATCACTAGGGTAGTCACTTATCCTTGGTTTGCACATACTAGTTAACATTTGTTGCAAGTGAAATCATTACTAGCACCCCCTTTCTCATTCTCATTATTATCCTGATTTGGATAATAAATTATAAGATAACCTTATCTATTATCCACTTCCTGTTCCACTAAAAACAATCTCAGTAATTTATTCTTTTTATCTCAAGGTTTTTTCCTATCATTTAACATCTTTGAGGGGGAAAGCATCTAATTTTAACTACTCTGTCTCTGAGATAGATTAGCTTAAAATATTCTTCAGTTTTATTACCTCTTTCTCCCTTTCTCCCCCTCATATTTGCTGTGAAAGGAGACTATCTTATTTATCCTCGAAATTAAAAAAATAGTAAGCAGCCCTGGCCAGTTTGGCTCAGCGGTTAGAGTGTCAACCTGCGGTCCGGAGAGACCCGGGTTCGGTTCCCGCTAAGGGCACGTACTTCGGTTGCAGTTTGTCCCCGGCCCTGGTTGGTCGTGTGGGTGGCAGCCACTCGATGTGTCCCTTCACGTCGATGTTTCTCACTCTCTCTCCCTTCCTTTCTCTCCCTCCCATTCTATCTGTACAAAAAATGGAAAAATATCTTCGGGTAAGGATAAAAAACAAACAAACAAACAAACAAACAAAATAGTAAGCAGTAGAGGCAT